TCTCGTGTAAAGTGTAAAATGATCATATGATTTTTAACTCTTTTATCACATGGGCCAACCCGACCCCATGCCTCTAGGCTCTATAATATTTATGCAGGTTAATTTTGGCCCAAACAATTAAGCCCGATCCAACTTCATCCAGCACCAACCAGCAGTCCAGTACTGCCCGACTCCAGACTTGACTGTTGGTATTTGTCATGTGCAAGGAAAGCATTACCTTTGACACCATTTGTAGGTAAAAACAAGCATCCCATTACTGAAGAAAATGAAAAGAAACTAAAGAATTCCAAGGATGCCTCTTAGGTTCAACATTTTGAGCTCACCCTACTAACCATCAGAATTTATAAGCAAAAACAAGCATGCATCATCACTAGTAATTGTAAGTTATATAAAGTCGTTTTTTTACGGTTTAAAATTTTTTATAGTTTAAATTATAAAAAAAAATAGATCATTAAATGAGAGACAATTTTCAATATCAATAAACTCACCTTGTTTCAAAATTAATTTACTTTAATTTCATTATATTTCGAATTGCACTAGACATTTATGAGTTTTTTATATATATATATATATATAGAGCAAAGAGACAAAAATCACTTTTTTGTTTCTCCATTCAAGGCATCAATATTCATGCATCTATACTTCTCTACACAAAAAAAATACCCTATTCATTTATTTTTAATAAATTTAATTTATTTTTTTTAAAAATTTTAGATATAAAATTTAAATAAAAATTTAACATATTATATAAATAATAATTAGAAATTTTACCGTGTTGTGGAGTGTGAGCATTTTTTGTTGTACATGTCAGACATGATAAATTTAAATTTTTTGATTTAAAAATTTTAGATATAAATTTTAGGTTTGATACTTACTTAAATATTTAAATACCTATATTTGATAACTAAATGAACAGGTACCAAAGAACTTATGAGTATATATTTATGTACTTGACTTTGAAAAAAAAAAGGTAAAGTAAAGATTTTGGACAAGTTATTATTGTTTTGTGT